TGTGTGGACACTAAAAACACTATTGTTTATAATGCAACATAGTCTGGAATCTGAGCTGAGTTGTTGCGGGCAAGTGTGTTGTTACTGTTGGTATAAGAGCAAGTTCGGTGCAAAGTATGTATACTGTGTGTTCGGAATCAAGACTGCACTAAAGTCATTAGATTCTGCCAGAAACATCTCACATTCACTAAGCGTTTGGTTTTGAATTAATTTCTGGGTTTTGCACATTGAGAAACGTTATACAATTGTCAATTTTTTCCAGCCCCACATTCAGTTACATGACCCCATATGGGTTTGCAAACCACAGGTTTAAGAAGCCATGCTTCGAAAAGTCAATTGCCACATATGTAGATCATAGCTTCAGTTGTTTGAATTTGTGTATTTAAATGTCTGTAGAGATCTGGAAGCTAGGAAGAGATTGTGGGGCAGAGAGAGGAGGAGGAGGAGGAGGAGGCCTAAAGAGGAGTGGAAACAGCAGAACACACGCGATGTGAGGGTTGTGGTTCGACTGAGAAATGTCCCCCGGGGGCTCATGTATTGAACATTTGGTACCCAGTTGGTGGTACTGTTTGGGGAGTTACCAGACCTTTAGGAGGTAGCACCTTGCTGTAGGAAGTACATCCCTAGGGGAAGGTTTAAATGTTTATAGCCCCACCCCACTTCCTATTCTCACTTTCTGCTTCCTGTGTGGATGAAAACGTGATCAACCAGCTTCTGGCTCCCACCACCATGTCATGCTTTCACCTCTGTGATGGCATCTATTCTTCAGGAACAGAACGCCATCATGAACTCTTTCTTCCCTAAGTTGCTTTGGGTCATGGTATTTTATCACAGTAACAGAAAAATCACTAATACAAAAGTAGAGGGAGAGAATGCTGGAGGGGCAAGGTTTAAACAGAAATGGGGTAGGGAAGGAGGATTAACTAAAATAAGAATATATGACGAAAACATATGGAAACTTAATTTTAAAACTAATTTAAAATATAATTCGCTGGGCCATAGTGACGCACGCCTTTAATCCCAGCACTTAGGAGGCAGAGGCAGGTGGATCTCTGTGAGTTTGAGGCCAGCCTGGTGTACAAAGCAAGTTCCAGGACAGCTAGGACTGTTACACAGAGAAACCCTGTCTCGAATATATATACATGTGTGTGTATATATATATACATATACATATATATGTGTATATATATATATATACATATATATATATATAAAAAGAGAGGGGGTGTTTAAAGAAAATTACCCTATATGGGTAGAAAATGCTGAGCCCAGAAACCGTGGGGTCCTTTTCCTGCACCTACATGTGTTATTATTATATTAGCTACATGTCTGCTGCTGTGGTAAAACAACATGGCCAAAGGTGACTTAAAGAAGGAATATTTTAGTTTATGATTATGGGAGGAGTGTGCATAACAGCAGGGGAGGTGTGGCAGCAGGCCACCTGCGGGAAGCTGAGATACAACATCCTCAAGCACAAACACAGAGCAGAGAGACAATCGGAAGCAGGTGAGGCTATAAACTCTCAAAGCCGAGCCCAGTGATGCGCGTCCTCCAGCAAGGGCACAGCCCTAAGGTTCCATAACATACGCCACGCAGCACACCAGCTGGATACCACGTGTTCTAACACCTGAGCCTAGGAGGGCTAGTTCTCATTCAAATCACCACAATTATCTTACATAATTACTTCAAATAGAAGCAAAATTCATTTTTCTGCCCAAGAGGAAATTTAATTAAAATAACTGCTTTATAAAATAGAATTTATAGATCTACCAATTACCCGCAACTTAGAAACACAATGAAGCTTCTCTAAGACAATAAACATAATGGAGCTGATAATGTAGACAGATATGCTGTAGATTATACATTTTAACACTGAAATGGAAAACCACTACATACCCAGCATCATATGGTTGTTAGGTATTTAGCCATAAAGGATTTAAAAAGGAAGGGTCTGTGTTTAGAGCCATTATTTTTCAAACGAAACAAAACACTTTTCCAAGGTTACGTCTTTCACCATTAGACAATAAATCTTTAAAGAAATAGCAATCTCTATAGCCAAAGGCAATGTCCCCACACTACGTTGAAAGGTTAAAAGCCATATCAGACTCAAAGTGGCACTGTGGTGAAGAACTTCCCAAACTGAAAAACTGCAAAGTCGAAACCAACGTCTCTTTGAAAAAGCTCCCCCAACCAGGGTAAGTCTGGGTTCAGCCAGGCTTCCGGTGAGCAGGTAATGGAATCTAAGCAAAACAGTTGGTGGAAGTCAAAATGGTTAGGAGAAACCAAAAAGCTGGGACCCAGCTCTTTGCTCAAGCCTTATTCCGGACATATCTGTGAAAACGTTGGGGTCTTTTTTATTTGATTTGTTGTTGTCGTTAGTTTTGGTTGGTCAGTTGGCTGTTAGGGGCTTTTTTGTTTGGTTTGGCTTGGTTTTGTACACAGGATCTTGCCATATAGCCCGAGCTGGCCTTGAAGTTGTAACCACCAACCTCCTGAGAATAATTGTTTGACTCGGGAGCTCAAGGAGATGCTTTTTCTTGGAGTGTTATTTTTATTTACAAGATGAACAACAGGTATATGTAGGTATAGAGTATAGCTGAAGAGTACCCTATTCTGAGAAGGCTAATCAAATACTTCTTTGCCAACTATGTATCTGAAGAGAGACAGGTTGTCTACATACAATTCTTCATATAAAATAATAGACAGAAACTAAGTGAGTCAGGAAACATGAAAATCTAGTTGACATCCATCAAGTCAACCTTCTAACAATGTAAAACAATGCCACTCTTAGTTTTTTACTTTGCTTTGCTTTTCTTTGGAGAGATATAGTTAGTATAAAATGTTGTTTATATAAATATTTACCGAATTTGCTATTGTTGTTTTTACATGAATTAATGATTATTTAAAACTTTATTGGTTTTATTATCCAGTGTGATGAACACATTTAATCTTTATAAATAGAAGTTCTTTGGAATATTCAATAATTTTTAGAATATAAGGAAGTCTTGTGACCATAAATTTAAGGACTCCCTGAATTTATAGTAAGCAGTAAGTAATGAGTAAGCCAGTGTCTGGAAAGCCTTGGGATTTTTTTATTTGAATGCATACTACTAAACTCATTGAGGTCCTTTTGGGACATCATCTATGATGGTTGATTTCATGTGCCAGCTTGGGTAGGCCACAGTTCCCAGATATCTGATCATATATTATTTTAGACACATCTATGAGAGTACTGGGGTTTTTTGTTTATCCATTTTGGTTGGTCAGTTGGCTGTTTGGGGCTTTTTGGTTTGGGTTGGTTTGATCTTTAGGGACAGAGCCTCACCATATAACCTTGGCTGGGTTTGAAGCTGCAATCCACAGCTTCCCTAATGCTGAGATTACAAGTATATACTACCACACTGAACTTAAGAAAGACATTCTTTTTTTTTTCTTTCTTTTTTTTTTTTTTGTTTTGTTTTTTCGAGATAGGGTTTCTCTGTGTAGCTTTACGCCTTTCCTGGAACTCACTCTGTAGCCCAGGCTGGCCTCGAACTCACAAAGATCCGCCTGCCTCTGCCTCCCGAGTGCTGGGATTAAAGGCATGTGCCACCACCGCCCGGCAAGAAAGACATTCTTGTGAGAGTAACATAGAAATTGGTAGACTTTGACTAAAGCTTATCTTAAACCTTCTATACTGTCAATAAGGCTCCTGCAAATCAGCTGAAAGCCCCCATAGGATAAAGACCGGTCCTTAAATAAGAAGGAACTCAGAACAGAGGCAGACAGTCTTTGGACAGGAACATCAACACCAGCTCTTCCTGGTTCTCAGCACGAGACCCACCTTATAGATTTAAAATTCCTCAGCTTCTACAATTCTATGAGTCAATTCTTTAACAACAAGCCTTCACTCAAAATACATACATGCAATAGCTCTGTTTCTCTAAAGAGATGCCTAACACATTAGTCTTATCAGTAGGAGATATATACATACATATATACTTTTTTACATAACACATTTGTGTATAACAATAATAATTAAGAAAAAGTCATGAATTTGAGAGGGAGTCGGGGGATGCTGGGGGAGATGGAAAGGGAGAGGGAGGGGAGAAGGCAGAAAGGATATAAATGGAATACTCACAAGTGAAATTCTCAAAAAAAAATTAAATTTAATTAAGAATACATTAAGAATTCATAATAGCAGCCAGTACATTCTTGGTGGACTAGAGGTTAAAAGCAAGGGAAAAGAACATTGTTCTAACTAAGTATATAAAATATCTTGAAATATACCAGTAAACATAGATATGGCTATGTGAAGGAATAGTTCTACACCTAATGTCCATGCCTACAACATCTGGAAAAGCACAAAATAGTTTCTCTTCTAAACAGCTCTCCTTGACCCTCCCCCTCCTATTCAAAGAACCATCTTCATCCCCCAAGGCTTGAACTTTGCTTTTCTCGGTTTCTCTAATTTTGAGAATTCTTTGTAAGTAAGGTGTTAATGACTTCACACTTCCCCAAACAATTTACATGTTAAATGACAACTGAAGAGGGAAACAGGTGTTTTGCCCCAAGTAATTAATCTCTACTACGGGTGGAGAGACCCAGAGCACCGGAGTAGGGGAGAGAGCTAAGACAGGGGCCTTTCTGAGGCCTACCAAACAGGCTCAAGGAGTCGACTACCTACCTACTCCACCTCTACCTCCACTTAGAGGGCACTCTTAAGGAAGTCTCATGGGTGTAGTTTCCCGAGCATGTTGCTGACACATCCTGACACATTACAGGAAACAATGCATGGGTAATGGTTATGTGAGACATAGTGAAGGGCTGAGCTGGGCACATTGTACAGAAGAGCTAGTGGCTGCCATCCTACATCAGCTCATGGAGCCAGATGTCACAGAGATACTGTCACGAACTGCACACATATCTAAATAATTTTAATATGTTTTTTATTTCATTGTATGTATATGTTTTGTCTGCATGCATACCATGTGTGTGGAGTGTCTGTGTAGACCAGAAGAGGGCATCAGATATCCTGGAACTGTAGTTATGGGCCTCCGTGTAGGTGCTGGGAATTGAACCCGGGTCCTCTGGAAATGCAGCCAGGACTCTTAACTGCTGAGCCATCTCTCCAGCCACATGTCCAAATAATTTTTCTGGAGCAAGAAACTTACAACCACCCATGATACAAACAAAGGTAAATATCTTTTATTTCTTTTCAAGTCCAAATACAGGTTATCCTTTGTATTTATGTATTTAACGTTTAGAGAAATGGAAGCCATTTGAAGTCATCTGTGCGTGGCCATGCATAGGAATGCATACCTGTAATCTCTGCGTTCATGGGGCTGAGGTGGGAGGATTCTGAGTTTGAAGCCAACTTGGGCTACATAGTACAACCCTAGAGCAAAAATTAATAAAATAAAAATAGTATATGTTTCACTGCCAAATACTGTAATATGCTGCCATAATACAATAAGTAGGATTCAAATTTTTCAACTGTTTAAAAATATGGTTTGAATTGCTATAAGGGTAATAAAGAGACCATGAGACAATGGCAATGGGCTTTTTTTTTTTTTTTCCTGCTTGCCCATTTAAATCTGATCCCAATCCTGGTTTGGTTGCAGTTGCTCACTGTAGCTTGACTATCGATGGTGACAATTGTGGGTCCAATTGGCTAAGAACTCCAGGACAGAGGGAAGTTCCCAAGCATTCCTTCATTGGCTGTCTTTCATTCTATTGATCTAGCCCAAAGTCTAGACTGAAAACAGCCTCTCAGCCTTCCCCTGCCTGATAAGTACCTGCCCACAGAAACTTCATTTTCACAAACATTCAGTGGCCAAATAGCATCTACATAACACAGTATATCCACATTGTCACTACAGTTTTGTTTTCATGTTTTTCGTGTATGTGTGGTGTATGGGTGTGTACTTGTTTGTGTGTGTGTGTGTGCATGTGTGTGTGTAGAAGCCAGAGGCCAGCATTGGCTGTCTTCCTCTGTCCCTCTCCATCATATCTGTTTGAGGCAGAGGCTCTCACTGAATCTAAAGCTTACTGACTTAGTTAGAGGGGTGGCCAGCAGCTCTGGGCATCTTCCTGTCTCAGCCTCCCTGGTACTGGGATTCTAGGCACGTGCTGCTGTGCCTAGCATGGGAGCTGGAAATGAAAACTCATATGCTTATGCTTACACAGCAAATGCTTCTCTAATTTTTATTGTGGAATATATTAAACACAAAAGCACATGCAAATGAGAACTTTAAATAAATGGAGAGTTGGGAAAAACAAACAGAACTCCAGTATGAAAGACCACAAAATGAAGGGAAAAGATAAACCATTCTCCACAAGCTAATTCACAGATTCGAATTATTCTAACTCAAAATCTCACAGGGCATTTTTTTTGGAATGCAAACAAACGGGGAAGTTCTAGAATTGATCCAGCAGGATGCTATAGCCAAAACAATGTTGGGAAAAGTTGGAAAATTACAGGAACACATGCCTAACCTAAAAAGAAACTAAACAAAATAAAACTGAACAAAGAAAAAAGCTACATTAAAAAAACTTACCTCCCCCGGGTGTGCACCCAGGGACTCTGCATCTCCTAGAGACACCTGCATACACAGACTGTTCATAGCAGCTTTGTCCACAGTAACCAGGAAATGGAATCATCCCTGATGCCCAGCAACTGATGGATGGATAATGAAAATGTGGTTTATATACACAATGGAACTTGATCCAGCTATGAAGAAAAATGAAGTTATGAAATTTGCAGGTAAATGGATGAAACTAGAAAAAAATTAAACCGAGTGAGGTAGCCTAATCTTACAAAGACAAACACCACGTGTTTCCTCTTAGAGTCAGGTCTTAGCCCTAGCTCCTGAGCTGTATGTGTTTAACCTGGAGTACCAGGACGGTAGGAAGGGATTAGTAGGAGAGGATTATCTTAAAGGAGGGGTGCCGGGCAGCAGCACACAGGTAAAATATGGAAAAGGGTGAATATCGGGAGTAGAAAGGTTCAAAAATAGAGAAGGATAGGATATGAGAGAGTCAAGGGAATGAATGGGTGGGAGGTTAGTTAGGATGAATGGGGCATGAGTAAACACTGAGAAACCTGCATATCTGGTTATGCTATTAAAAAACAAACTGTGAAGGTCGAAAGTGGTTACTCTACTGTGCTAGACAGTGTCAGTCCTAGAAGTAATGAGTCACTAACCCAGAACTCAGGTGCCAGGAGTGACACTCCTCTATGTTGTTGGTCATGGGGGTGGGGGTGGGGGTGAGGATGGGGGTGGGGGGTTGGAGTTACACTTGTGGTAGCATGGATGGCAGCGTGGCTGCCATTCTGTCCTGTGCAGTCATAGGCTGTGGAGCTAGGCTGGGTTGAACAGAGAGAGGTCTCTGGTTTGGTTGCTTAGGTCACTGGTACTGGACTGACCATGTGGAGGATCACGTGTTTGCTGACTGCTCATTGGCGTGGCTTCCCGCCTCACTGTGCCCAGTCCTCTGAGACTCACCCATGGGCCTGTGTCACTGACATCTGGGGTAGAGGCAGATGTGTGGATAGAAGATGGTGGTACTCGAAAGTTGAACTGTGTGTTCTACAAATGCTCTGGCAGAACTGGGCCTGGGCCTTGGTCCATAGGTAATGTTGGGGACCTGAGAGTACACAGCTCAGTTCTTCTCAGTACTTTCTGTCTTGGGGTGAACTGTGCAGCAGGCTCCTCTCCCTAGGCTTCCGAGTGAAAGGCTTCCTTCTGTGATCCAGGAGGGACACTCAATAAAACAAAAACTCCTAAATATGGGAAAGAGATCTGTAAGAAGGAAGGGCACTGGCTGCGGTGGGAGAGACGTAAGAACAGTCAGGGAGAGTAACCAGCATGCATTATATGCAAAAAGAACATCAAAGAACAAAATTTATTAATAAAAAAGCCCAACTAAAATCTGTATCATACCAAACAAGATAAAAGAAGCAAAGAAATAAAACCTAATTTCACTGGATGCCAAAGGATTCACAGTTAAGGAGAAGAGACTATGTCTAGGATCTTGGAGTCGACAGATATGCCATTCGAGGGGACACAATGGGCAGTGATGGTAATGGGACACGGAGACTCTATAATCTATTAAAATGGAGTTCATCCAAGTACACGGCTGAAGTAAGAATGCGGCCATCTTTGTTTGCTTTCCACTGCTGTGATAAGCTGGGGAGAGGGGTTCTGTTTAGCTCACCGTTCATAGTCCATCTTGTAGGGAAGTCAAGGCAGGAACCTGGAGGCAGAACCTCAAACAGATGCCGTGGAGGAACTCTGCTTCCTGGCTTGTCCCCCATGGCTAACTCAGCCTGCCTTTTGTTGTTGTTGTTTTGTTTTTAGAGACAGTGTAGCTAGAGTTTTCCTGCCTGGCCCACAGTCAGGGCAAATCTCTCTCACCTGCCAGTCCCACAGCCACTCAGACCCGACCAAGTAAACACAGAGACTTATATTGGTTACAAACTATATGGCCGTGGCAGGCTTCTTGCTAACTGTTCTTACAGCTTAAATTAATCCATTTCTATAAATCTATACCTTGCCACATGGCTCGTGGCTTACCGGCATCTTCACGTGCTGTTTCTCATCATGGTGGCTGGCAGTGTCTCTCTGCCTCAGCCTTCCACTTCCCAGCTTTATTCTCCTCCTTGTCCCGCCTATACTTCCTGCCTAGCCACTGGCCAATCAGTGATTTATTTATTGACCAATAAGCAACACACTTGACATACAGAGAACATCCCACAGCAAGACAGGGTTTCTCTGTGTAGCCTTGGCTGTCCTGGAACTCACTCTGTAGACCAGGCTAGCCTTGAGCTCACAGAGATTCACCTGCCTCTGCCTCCAGAGTGCTGGGATTAAAGGTGGGCACCACCACCACCCCAGCAGCAAGCCTGGTTTCTTATACAACACAGGATCACCTACCCAGGGGTGACACCACCTTCCCCATACCACCCATGGGTTGGCTCACCTATATCAGCCATTGTTAATGCTGGCATCATGAGTTCCCCCAGAGACCACCAGAAGTCCAAATTCATATACAGAAGCAAAGAACCTTTACTGCAAGCTTAAGCTTGGGCTTCCTGTCCATTCTGACACAGTAGTTGGACCAGGGAGAGCATTGAGCTCAGTTATGGCAGGGTTTTTAAGTCGTAAAGGATGGGGGAGTAGGGGAATTCTGGATTCAAATGGGGGTTGAACTCCTGATTGGGCAGGAGTGAGGTAACAGAAGTTTTGTCAAACAAGGATTGGTACTGGCGTTGCTGCAAGGAAATTGGCAACCCGTATACAAGTGATATAAGCTATCCTTAATGCTCTAGAACATCTAGTACTTATTTGTCTCAATTCTGATTGGTCTCCCGCAGGGTGCAGTTTGAGGCTTTTCCTGGTTATGGTCATGGTGAGGCCTAGTCCCAGTATTGTTAGTCTGCAGCCTGTCATGGCTGCACTAATGTTAAGTGAGGTCTCTCCACCATTAATCAGGAAAATGCACCATAGACTTGCCTACAAGCAATCTGGTGTTAGCATTTTATCAATTAAGGCTCCTCTTCCCAGATAATGCTAGCTTGTGCCAAGCTGACAAAACAAAAACAAACAACAACAAAAAAGGACATTTGACTCCTCATCAACCTGACACATCACTAGGTCACTATTAAACCTTAACCACCTTGCCTTTATTGTTTAATCCCAAGATCTCATATTAACGTCAATTCCACAATGTAAAACATAAATAACTTTAGAAGTCCCATCGTCAAAAAAAAAAAGTCAAACTCTTTAAAACTTTAGTCTCTTTAAAACATCCAAAGTCTCTTTCAAAGTTTAAAAGCCTCTTTGAAATATCCAAAACTTCTCTAAAATATCCAAACGCCACTCTAAAGTCTCAGTCTCTCCAAAATTCCAAAGTCTCTTAGTTGTGGGCTCCTGCAAAATCAAAATCAAGTTATGTACTTATTACTTCACAGAGTAAGGGCCAGGACACGGTTAAAATCAGATCAACGCAAAACCAAAGGCCAGCAGGGTAAAGCTCAGTGTCCCTTCTGGGACTCAGCACCTTCCAGACTCCTCTCCAGCTCGGCCACCCACAGGACACACATGGCTTAGGCTATCCCCATGCCTGCTGCTGTCCTTGTTAATAGTTCTATAGACGTGGAATATCCAAACTGCGGGGTCTCCGCAGCCAAACACTCTACCTTCACCCATAACCTCTTTTGCTCTCTCTCCAGGAACTCTACCCCTGCTCCATGGTGTTAAGCCTTAACATCTCTCCGTGGCCTCTTCAATCCAGGGGCTTGTACTGCCACTGAGGCTGCACCTTCACCAATGGCCTCTCCTGGCTTCTCACAGGGCCACGCCTCTGCCACTCTCCATGACCCCGTCATGCCTTCAAAACCAGTACCATCTGGGAAACTCTTAGGCGTTGCCCAAGTTCAGCTGTCAGCATAAGGTAGAGCCTTGGTGTCCCCTGGATCAGAGCTTCTGTTGTGCTGACCCCGAGAAAACACTTCCCAGAAAATGTGGTCTAACGATGTCGCTCTCCCTTAAGCACAGCTGACTCTTCCGTCCCAGATGACCAGTATCAACTGTCCCAGCAAAGCAGGAGTCTTAGCTTTGTGCTTATGGCCTCTTGTTAGCCGCAGCCCATTCTTCAGCTCCAGCCCTGATGGAATCTTTGCTTCCCTCTGAACTTCATAGGCAAGGCCTCCGTCATCGGCATCGCTCTCAACGTTTTTATCTCACAGAACAGTCCACTGAGCTCTGAGCACTCAACAGCCTTTCTACCCCAAAGTTCAAATGTTACCACAAATCCTCCCAAAAACACGTGGTCAGGTCTGTCATAGCAATAACTAATGACCTGGCTCCAATTTCTGCCTTCTATTGTTGTGATAGACACAAGGACTACAAGATTAAGGGTTTATTTTAGCTTATTGTTCATAGTCCATTGTCAAGAGAAATCAGGGCAGTAACCCGAGACAGGAACCTGGAGGCAGGAACTGAAGCAGATGCCATGGGGGGCGGGGAGCTACTTACTGGCTTGTTCCTCAGAGCTTTCTCAGCCTGCTTTCTTACAGCACCCAGGCCCACTTGCCCAGGGGTGGCATCACTCATACACCCCTGTGGGCTGGGACTTCCCACATCAATCATTAATCAAGAAAATGTACCAGACTGGCCTACAGGCAATCTAATGGAAGCACTTTCTCAACTGAGGTTTCTCTTCCCAGATAACTCTAGTTTGTGTCTAGTTGGTAAGAAAAGGAAGGAAGGAAGGAAGGAAGGAAGGAAGGAAGGAAGGAAGGAAGGAAGGAAGGACGACAGAAACCAACTAGCAGAGTCTCTAGTAAAGGACCCATACCTAGAATGTTAAACTTGCTTATACAATCTAATAAGAAATGACCAGCTCAGCCGGGCAGTGGTGGCGCACGCCTTTAATCCCAGCACTCGGGAGGCAGAGCCAGGCAGATCTCTGTGAGTTCGAGGCCAGCCTGGGCTACCAAGTGAGTTCCAGGACAGGCGCAAAGCTACACAGAGAAACCCTGTCTCAAAAAACCAAAAAAAAAAAAAAAAAAAGAAATGACCAGCTCAATGGGAAAAGGCTCCCAATTACCTCCCAATGACCAGTGGACAAGAGAGGATAACCTCCCAATGACGGGTGGGCATATGAAAACTTGTTCCCTATATTAATCACTAAGTAATGAAAATTAAAGTGACAGTGTTACAGTGTAATGTAGCACAAATCTTAAAGAGTCTTATTAATCATCTACAGTGCAACAAGCTGGCAACCGGCTGCACTGAAAAGACAGAGTATCAGAAGGTAACCAACATTCCATGAAACTAGAACCTTGTTCGAATACCCCTGGGAACGCCTAGGTTGAAAAGACCCATTCTGGAGATAGTTCATCGGTGTCAGCTGAATGTAGACGTACCCTGTGGCCCAGCAAGTCCACGTCTAGATGTATGCCAGCAAAAATGTAGCCACCAACTGGTTTATATAGAAATGCTCATAAACCACAACTGAAAAATGTCCAAATGTCCAATAACAACAGAATTGAGTATTCATGTAGCATGCCAGATTTCTAAAACAGTTCTGTAAATGAATGAAAACAGAAGTGTCTGTCACTGTTAGAAGTGGGGAGAGCCATTATTCTTAAAGAAGTTGTGAACAGGGACTGGAGGGTATTTCTGAGGGTGGGAAATTGCTGACGTTCTTGTTTTTGATAATTTCAGCAGTGTTTGCTTTGCGAAAAGCCAGACACTTCCTGCGTGAATCCCTATACTTCAACCAAGATCTTGAACACTATCAGATGGTATTTATACAATTTCTAAATTGTCAATCCTCAACATTGGCAATGGTACAGACAACAAATATTTTTATATACTGTTGGCAGAACTGTAAATTTAGTCAACCTTCTTGGAAAGCTGATAGCAATATGGACCAAAAATATTCCAAAGTTTATGGTCTTTTGCCTACTAATTCCAAGTATCTGCATCTATCTCAAGGTAATAATCCACTTGATAAAATGACAAAGATGGGATACTAAACTATGTATATTCTATACAGTCCAAACCATTTAAATACATTTATGAGAGGCTGGAAGAAAGTACATGGAAAATCATGACTGCTGTGTCCCCATCCCTAATGAAGCCACGATCCCAATGTGATGGTGTTAGGGCGTGTGGACTTTGAGAGCTGACTAGGTTTACAGGGGTTGTGGTGGGTCTTTTGGTAAGGTTAGGTCCTATCAGAGACGGGAGACAGATGAGCTCTCCTCCTTGCTACAGTCAGAGGCCACCATAGCAAAGGAGCTGTTATGAGTCTGGGAGAGAGACCTCTGCAGAGTCAAGTCTTGCTGGGATTCAGACCTTGAAATTCCTGGTCTTGGGAACTGTGGGAAATAAATGTTTATTGCTTCTGCCAACATATGGCATCTTGTAATAGCCGCCAAGCATATAAGCATAATGATCTGAAGTTATAGCTGAAAGTATGAATGATTTCAGCCTATTTATTTCACTGTTTTTGAAATTCTCCACAAACCAAATTACATTTTAATTTAAGTTGGGGGGAGGGGCAAGCCGCGCCATTGTATGAGCGTGTGTGTTTCAGGGGGAGTGGCTTATGGGAGTTAGATCTCTCCTTCCACCGTGTGGAACCTGGGAGTCAAACTTGGGTTTTCAGGCTTGACAGCAAGTGTTTTTACCCTCAAAGTCATCTCAGTAGCCTTTTTTTAAGTTTTATAAATGTAATTGCTCATTAATTGTGACTAAATCCTCCTACGTAAAGGACAGAAAAAGAGAGAAATACAAAGTAAAGGTAAATATTTCCTTTTCATATATTCTGGCCCCACCCCAGTCCATTACTTTGGTTTTTCACAAATGAGCATCAATATCCACTTGCAAATCTTTTTATATATTTTACTTAGCATATAAATCATGTACACACAGGTAAGGAAATGTGCATTTACAACGTTTGGGGTGTGTGTGTGTGTGTGTGTGTGTGTGTGTTTTAATTAGTGCTTTAAAATAAAAACCCAGAGGGGAACTGGCTATTCCCATGTTATTGTCTGCCCCATGCCATGATTTAAGTGTCACAAAGCTACATAAGCAGTACTTTCCTGAAACATAAACTACTTAGTGCCTGTGGCCACATGCCAGGTCCCCACCTGCTTAATACCTGCTTAGCTTCAGACAGCTCCTGTGTTGCCATGCTGGATCCCTCTAGCAAACATATTGTAAAATGCTTTAATGACACACACCAAATAATTAGCAAGTTTGCGTGGTAATCTGTCTATGTCTAGACCAACCTTTTTGAACTCAGTATTCAGTACTACCGATAACTTTTATAATCAGGAATTTGAGAAGTAAACATGATTTTATTTGAAAGGACTCTAGGGTTGGGGATTTAGCTCAGTGGTAGAGTGCTTGCCTAGCAAGCGCAAGGCCCTGGGTTTGATCCTCAGCTCAAAAAAAAAAAAAAAAAAGGACTCTAGAAGCAATTGTCAATTGGTTTCAGGTTTCCTGGGTATGTTCCTGTTTGTTCGTTAGGTTTGAAGCAGGAAGTCTCAAGTCTGTTTAATTTTTTATCAGAGATCGCTTGCAGAAGGTGCCTTGCTGATTTGGGCCACATCGTTACACTGAGCACCACGTTAATCGACACTGCTGTTTGCATAATAGAAAAGACAAATTACTTAGAAATACCTCGAAGAAACTTGTGTTTCATGTGGAATGCATTATTTGTCCAAATACCAGAGGGATCCAAAGTTTTCATAAATATTCCCCATGCCCTGAACACACGTCTTCAACAGCAATTGGAGATGTTGTGAACCACGCATCCTTCTATCACCCAAGATATAGCTCACATCTAGTATGCTCCCTCTGCTATGACTGTACACTGTCCCATGTTCCATCATCCTGTCCCTTGCTAGTCTAAGTCTTTAAACCTGGCAGCTGGTAATTTTCTGGAGATTTCTCTATCTATATGCACACACTTGTATGTGGATGAAATAAAACCTAGGCACCCACCTGGCTCCATCTCAGCAGGATTTTTGTATGTTGATTCCAGCAGCCAGGGGTAATTAGGAGTAATTCCAATCTTAGTGGCATCTCTGGTGTCATTAAAGAAGATGCACTGCATAGCCCATGACAGCAGATTTTCAAATGTCCCTTCCTTAGTTCTCTTCACAGCAATCTGTCCCGAAGCTTCCTTCCTCCTGCCTCGCTCCGGTCTCTCCCTTTTCAATGTCAGTTCCTGTCTTGGCTTCTCTTTGCTTCCCTGTGTGTTGCTTCTAACCTGTAGTTTAGGACCCTGGAAGGGGGCAGAGGTGGAGGAGGAGGTAACGGGGAACAGTCTTATTACTCAGTAGGAACAGGAAGAGAGTGATGGAGCACAATTTAGATGCTTTGCCCAATAATTTATTGTAGTTATTAAATAGACTCACACAGACTGAACCTCCTACATGTGAGGTGAGATCTAGAAGTGGGTGGATTGAAGTTGGGATTACTTTGGAAAATCACGGGAAGGGGTTTTGCTTGTTGGTTGGTTGGTTGGTGGTTTTGCTTGAGAAGGAAAGTAACATTTATGAGTGCAGAGTGTTCTGCAATGTCCCATTAATGCTTTGCACTTAGCTAGGACAGCATTGGTAAGGGGGATTCACCATGGCCTCTGTGTTAGTCCTAAGGACTAAGTATGCTCCTGTGGCCAGGTCCAGGGGTGCATGCCTTTAATCACAGCACTGGGGAGGCAGAGGCAGGCAGATCTCTGTGAGTTTGAGGCCAGTCTGGATAGCCAGATCTACATAGTGAGACACTGTCCCAAACAAACAAACAAAAAAGCATGATCCCATGTTGTGTCCAACTCACAAGCAGCCAAACATTCTTAGGGAAACTATTCTGCCGTCCCCAAAAGTAATTGTCCACATTGACTGGAGCTGATTGAACCGTGTGACATTAGGTGAGGCAATTACATTTCCTTCAAGCTTCCAGGGTAGCAGTGATAGCAACTGTACCCTGTCAGAGTCGGAGACGAGAGCACCTTTGCTGTCTGATTCTCATGGTAGCACGATGCTGCTGAGTATGCACACTGGCTAGAGAAGCCTACTGCCCTCGCTAAAGATGAGGCTAAGGTCCAGAGAAAGGCCGGTGGGTTAGGTGGGGCCCAGGAGCAAAGGAGATGATTTGTTTGGGGTGAGAGTAAAAGAGCTGCTCCATCAGAGATGCTGCAATGAAGATCTGAAGGGGCAGGAGGCGTTGGAAAAATTTACCAAGGAGCATGCTGGGTAATCTCTTGTTGCACTGTTTGTCCTGTGAATGCACATTCGATTTTAGTCACCCTCCCTTAATCCCCGCAATTAATTTTTCCAGCCTGGGAAACAGAACCTCAGTGGCAGGCAGTGCCTCTGTTCTCTCGATAACACATGGTAAACCACAAATGGCATCTACTGTGTTCTAATGTTATTTTGGAGGTCTGTTCCAAAGTGTGGTGGTTTGAATGAAAATGGCCCCCATAGGCTCATAGGGAGTGGCACTATTAGGAGATGTGGCCTTGTTGGAGGAAATGTGTCACTGGGAGTAGTCGGAAGGTTTCCTATGTCCCGGCCTGCCACTCACCAAATCTCTCCCACTCTCGTCCCCCAAGTAAACACACAGAGGTTTATATTAATATAACTGTATGGCCATGGCTCAAGTCTTTTCCTAGCTAGCTCTTACATCTTGCATTAGCCCATAACTATTAATCTATGTATCGCTACATGTTCCATGACTTTACTTGCGTCCCATTACATGTTGCTCCTTGGGCAGTTCGTTGGCGTCTCCCCCACAGTCCCCACCCCCACCTTCTTCCTATCTCTCTCTTTGAATTTTCCACCTGCCTCTAAGCCGCCTTGCCATAGGCCAAACGGCTTTATTTATCAACCAATCAGAGCAACACATATTTGCATTGTACTGAAAGACATTCCCCCCATCAATTGGGGGCAGGCTTTGAGATTTCAGAAGCTCAAGCCAGGCCCCGTGT